CATTATTCATCTTTAAACTAATACTGCCCTAAATTAACCATTTCTATTCTAATACTGGTTTGTATTTCTAATATTTTCAATGTGTAATTAATACTGTTATTAATTAAGTATATGGTTTCAACTTGCTCTATAACCCCTAGATTTATATACTCCATTTCCATGTCTTTTGCTCCTAAACTTTCAAGTTATTTTTTTTTCCCCTTTTCTAAGAATCAGCAGATTATGGGCCATGTGCCACATGCAATCAGTTGCTTATTTATTTCATTTTTTATGCAGTGCTGGGGAATCAGGCCTCATGCATGCTTTTGCTTTGCCACTGCCCTGCACCCCTAGCCCAGCTTTCCTATTTTTATAAGGTTTTACAGCCACCTGGTTCATTTAAATATTGTCTGTGGCGACTTTTGTGCTATTGTGGCAGAGTTGAGTAGCTGCACTGAAGCCTGAAAAGCTTAAAAGATTGACTGTCTGGCCTTACAAGAAGTTTGCTGGCCTTCTCTATGCAAGGATGGGTACTCCTACTCTTTGTAAATCTTTTTCACTTTATATATAGTACACTGCAGGCCTCTGTTGTCAAGATGGGACTATTACCTAATTCCCCACAGCTAGGCTTCCTGAATCCCTCCCCTACGTTCCAGAGGCACAGGCTCTCTCCTTGCACATGCTTCCTGACTCTCACAAGAGGTTCAGGAGAGTCCAGAGACTGTATATTTGATGGCTGTCTCTCTTCCTCTTCTTTTTTATTTTTATAGCTCCAAATGAAAAAATGAAGCAAGTTTTAAAGAAGACTATAGAAGAAGCCAAAGCAATAATATCTAAGGTCAGCTTTTTAAAATGATGCTCTAAAGCTAGTCTTTTGAAATACAGTTTCTAAAATGGTATCTTCTGGAATTACCTGTCAACTGAAGTTTTCTGTTTGTTTTTTAATTTTTGCCTTCCAGAAGCAAAAGAAACAAGCTTGTTTGGGGTGGGCCCTAGCTTTTCCTTTTTATAATTATGAAAGTTATCCAAAATCCTTCTAATTCTTACCAGGCAGACAAGTTTTTGTTGATCTGTGTGAAAATAGGTTCATATTTATAATACAAGTATGAATTAACTTAATCTGATTTTGTTTCTTTTACCTATGTGAAGAAGTTAAGAATAAGTACAGGGGGATTTGAGTATCATGGCCATAGAATAGCCTGTGATTCTTGATTGATACAGTTTGTGTTTAATATAAATTAGTTTTTTTGTAATTTTCTCAAATATTTATATAAATGTATTTTAAAGAAGGAGAGGCATAAATGATATCATTGATATGCAGGTAATGTGCATCTGGCAGAAAATAATTTAAAGACTAAGACTGCACACCACGCCAGCTTTTCTGTTTCGGTTAACAGAACCACCAGTGTTTTGGTTGACAGGCTGCAACCCTGTGTCTTCAGTGTGTCCCCTGTCCCCCATGTGCTTTACGTCCTATACTGCCTGCTCGAGATGCCTCTTAAGTCCACCTCCTTCCTTTGGTTCTGCAGCCACCTCAAAGCTCCTGTAACCTTCTGCTTTCCAATACCAACTGGGTGTCCTATAACACATGTCAGTTCTGACACTCAACTATCCACAGCACAGACACCACAAGTTAAGAGCAAAACCCTTCAGTTCTGACACTACTGGAGTTAGTATCAGATCCCACAAGTTAGAGGGCAGGGTGACCACCATCACTCCTCCTACCTTCAGGCACCAGCTGCAAGTGGGTTCCCCATAGTACCCACACTTCTCTGTAACCTGGGTATAAATTTGGGGCTTCCTATTTCCCCACCCCTACTTAGTAATTTGTTAGAGTGACTCCACTCATTGAAAGCACTATATTCATGTTCACACATCCATTATAAAGCTTGCAACTCAGAAATGTCAAGCAGAAGAGGAGTAGAGCTCCTGTGCTTTTTGCCCATGGCCTCTGTGTATGTGACCAGAACATCAGTGTGTCCACCAACCAGGAAGCCCCACTGAGCCTTTATGCTCAGAATTTTTATCAAGGTTTGACAGGCATGATTAAATCATTTGGCCACCTGATCAAGTTCAGTATAGCCACCCTCCCCTCCCTGGTGGTTGGGGCTCAGGGTGAGGCTGAAAGTTTCAATCCTCTAATTATTAACTTGATCTTTCTGGCATGGCCAGCCCTTTCCTGGAAACCATCTTAGTCCATTTTTTTGTTCCTATAACAAGATACCCGTGGCTGGGTACTTTACAAAGAAGCTTTATTTGCTAAAAGTCCATTGTCAGATGATCCCATATGTTTGACTGTAAGACACACATACACCCCCCCCACACACACACATGCATGCCACCCCCCCACACACACACGCATGCGTCGCTGTGTCACAACACAGCAGAGTGTGCAAAAGGGGCCATTCGAGTGGGAGAGCCTCACTAACAATAGCCCACTTTTGCAAGAACTTAATCAGGATCCTATGAGCATTACATTAGTCCCTTCCAAGGATGGCATCCCTGTGACCTAATCACCTCCCACTGGGCCCCATCTCTTAACATTGCTTTGCCATGTGCAGCGCAGGTTTTCAGTGCTCACCATGGATCACTGTGTTAGCACAAACTTGGGTATTGGTGAAAGGGGTTTTGTTATAAATAACAAGAGACTCCTATCATTCAATTTGAAGCTCTGTGCTAAGAGCCAAGGGCAAAGCCAGATATGCCCTTTATTGTGTCACCCAGTCCTCTGTAACTGGTCTCTCTTTAATTAGGTCCATTCTACCCACTTCAAGGTTAATCTCCCAAAATATCACTCCTTCCCAGAAGAGCCAGTCACTGCCCATCACCTGGCAGAGTAAATCCAAACTCCTTGCTGGCTCCCACAGCCATACAAACAGCAGTCTGCCCAGCCCCGTCTCTCTTCTCCTGCCTGCCTGGGGCCAAGTGGGTTGGTACCTGCACTTCTCTGCTCTGTGTGTCCTGAAGCACCTGTTCGCAGTTCCACCTTTCCAGTCCCCACGTTTTAAGGTCCACATAAGAGGCTTGTCCCCCCACAGCCTTTCCTTACCCTCTCCCATCCATGCTGCTAGATTTGGCCCTTTCTTCAAGCGCCACACTTCTCGCTCTGCTGCTCATAGTCTGCTGTCTGATCCAGGTCTCAGTGGACCTGGCTTAGTCCTCAGGTAGATGGAAGTCACTTGAAGAGCAAGAACTGTGTGATTGCTGTTTGTTGTGCTGGCAGGAGTCTTCTCCTGGAGCCTGAGCAACACTTCCTGCGTGGACTGGCCAGGTTGTAGGTAACGGTGCCTCATCCACTTTCAGAAACAAGTGGAAGCCAGTGTCTGTGTCACCATGGAGATGGTCAAAGACGCCCTGGACCAGCTTCGAGGTGCAGTGATGATTGTTTACCCCATGGGGTTGCCGCCCTATGATCCCATCCGGATGGAATTTGAAAATAAAGAAGATCTGTCGGGAACTCAGGTATGGGCTCCTGGGCAGTCTGGAGGTGAGGCCATGTTCCCTCAAAGCCCTTCTGGCTTGGCTGTCCTCTTAAGGGAGCAGTTGTTGCTTCATGCTTCAGAGCAGTGTTCAGAATTCAGGAAAGGACCCTGGGAGGGTGAAAGTCAGAGATGAGGGATTCCATCCACATGTAGAGGATTTTTGAAGATCATTTCTATTTTCTCTGGCTGCTGGAAAGCCAGAAACCTAACTTGTGCTGTTTCCACCCAAAGATATGGGCCTTTTTCCGTGACATTTTGTGTTACAGCCTTACACCATGGTCAATGTTCTTTCCCCACTCCTACAGTCCATTTTCCTTTGAAATTTTCATTTATTCTTTTTAGGTAACCTATATCTTGCTAAGCCACCTTGAGTAGGTGGAATATGCAGAAACAGAGAAGCAGCCCCATATGCCTGTTTTTCCCTGGATTCCATGGTTTCCCCATGGCCATAGGTCCACCTAAGAAGGACCTGGTATTACAGATGAGGTTACTCCCCATTTACCACAGCAAGAAGGTAACTGAGTCTGGGCCTGATTGGAAACTTAACAGGGAAGATGCTAAAAACAGCAAGAACTCTGAGTGGGATGGAGGACGGGGTCCCCTGTGGGGAAAGGAGGATGCCAGAAGCTGTCCCCTGCTGGAAGGGCCACTGCCAGGCTCTGCACCCCTGGCAGGAGCCACACCTGTGGCTCATCCTCACACCTTTGAAGCCAGTTCTTCTGATTGACCCCAGGCAGGACTCAGTGTCATTAAAGAATCAGAGGCGCAACTGTGGTGGGCAGCCAAGGAGTTAAGAAGAACAAAGAAGCTTTCAGAATATGTAGGGAAAAATGAAAAAACCAAAATTATTGTCAAGCTTCAGCAAGTAAGTATCTTTGCTTTAACATACAAGTGTTTCTTATTTATGTTCAAACTGATAACAATATGTAGTACCTGAAAGATTTAAACTGTTTGTACAAATACTTGAATCCTGTTGGTTTGGGCTTATAGGAAATATCTTCTCTGTGTACACCAATAAAAACTGGAAGAAAATGTGGATTAATTGGCCATATCTGGAGTTTATGTTAATTTGTAGGGAGGAGGTATGTGCCATTTAATTTCAACCTAAAAAAGCAGGGCTGCAAGTCAATAAAAATGTGTTCTGCAAGTCAATAAAAATCCAGCCTAGAGCACTTCTAAGTTTCCCAAGCCCCCAGTGCTCTGCAGAGGAAGAGGAAGAAGGGGTAGAGTCCTCTAAGGCTGTCACGTAGCTGTCCGTCTGTGGGGCTGTCTTGGTTTATGCATGCTCCTAAATCACAACTTTATGATGTTGGGAACAAAGCCCTCTACCGTGTCTGTCTCCCACCCCCATTGGGCCTGCAGTGGCTCTCTTGGGAGTGGCTGTGACGGGGACAGCATAGTGCAGTGCTGTCTCCAGAGCACAGGTACTGTGAAATCCAAGACACCCCATAATATTCACTTTGAATCATCAGATGTGGATGACTTTCAGATGGCAGAGGCAGTTGTAAATCCTTTGTTGCAGTTTTCTGGATTGTCGATGCAAGAAGACTCCTTAGTCTACAATTTGCTTTCCTCTTTTTTAGAGGGGACAGGGAGCACCAGCCCGCGAACCTATTATTAGCAGTGAGGAGCAAAAGCAGCTGATGCTGTATTATCACAGGCGACAGGAGGAGCTCAAGGTAGCTGTTTGGTGGTGGGTTTTCAACAGAGCTGGGACCCAGGGCTTGCGCCCCATGCCTCACCTCAGGGCTAGGGGCAGGTGGGGCTGCAAGTTCTGTAGGATGTCGGGGAGGGATCTTCCTAGAGCTTCTGCCCCTCTCCAGGGATGTCCCCCAGGTTAGCTGGAAGCATCCTGCTCTGGGAGGGCAGGGAGAGGGGAGGTTGGCCACCTTCCTGAGATGCCTTCCCGAGCAAGACATATTTATTTCCAGAAATTGGAAGAAAATGATGATGACACCTCTTTAAATTCTCCATGGGCAGATAACACTGCTTTGAAAAGACAGTTTCATGGGGTAAAGGACATAAAATGGCGACCAAGATAAAGCTCACCAGTTGCTGAAGCGTTCAAAACTACTATCCCACCTTTCTTTTAGGTAAAATAATTACCATCTTTGATGAAAAATATTGAAATTTCTACTTTCCTAGTTTTCACTCTGATTTTTAAAATAACAGTTATTCAAAGTTCTTAGAACTTAATAAATATATCCTCAAAAGAAAATGTGTAAAATTATTTTGTTTCAGGACAGCTATGAAGTGTCTTAGGGTTTTTTGATAAAATACTAATGACATGATTACAACATGATTTTTGTCTTCCTGGTTTCTTTATGTTCTAGTAAAAACTGCATTAGAGAAAATTCAAGAGTAGCTTTTCCTTCATAGCAAGTTCACCCACTCTGACATGGAGCTTGACTGTCAGTGACCACTAGAGGGCACCAGATCCATACTGTCCTGTGCATTTCTCCTCAATTTTTTTTTTTAAAGAGAGTGAGAGAGAGAGAGAGAGAGAGAGAGAGAGAGAATTTTTAATATTTATTTTCAGATCTCGGCGGACACAACATCTTTGTTGGTATGTGGTGCTGAGGATTGAACCCGGGCCGCACGCATGCCAGGCAAGCGCGCTACCGCTTGAGCCACATCCCCAGCCCCAGCATTTCTCCTCAATTGGTTGGAAACTGAAATCTCAGTCTGTGAGGCTTGGGTCTCACTCTGCCCAAGGATCTACCTGCAGCCACGCATCTCCAAACCTCCAAGATGAAGTTTGCTTCTGGCCAGTGCCTCTCTGCCCTTGTCTGCCAGGAGTAAAGGCCACCTGTGATGGCAGTTGGTAGCCAGGCTGGTCTGACCTAGGAATTTAAGATCCTTTATTCTCCTTCAGTAGATTTCAACAGAGTAGATCGGGTACTGAAAATATGTGCAGGTCCTGGTGAAGGGTGGCAGGGCTTCCTCCAGGCCCAGCCTCGGTTCTCAGTGTGCTAGGGGACCAATGGCATCAGGCTTAGGCAGCCACATTTTGCTTATTGACCTTGGTGGAGTGTGTGGTTCACCCATCATCCTTTGATTTTAAATAGTCCAGCCTGTTGTGCCTATGAACTCTGACCCTTCAGCAAACTCTGACCCTGCAGCTGCTGTGGTGCTACTCGAACTACTTGTGTCAGCCAGGAGTGGCCTAGAAACCCACTTACACTTGACCTCCAAGATGTGGTTCTCCTAGTTAGAAGGAGCACATCTTGCCTGCCCCAAGGAAAAATGAGTTATGAGGGCATTTCTCTATGCTGTCCTTCCTATGCCCACTGCTCTCTCCTGCCTCAGTGCCCGAGCTCCTCACCATGGCCACAAAGAGGAGGTGTGGGGACAGTTTCCTAGTCCCATTGTGGGAATTCAACGACTTACCCCTCTACACATCTCCATGGGGCGGAGGAAGTAAAACTGGAGCTCAGCAGATTTGTCCAGACTACCCCAACCACCTGGAGGAGATGACCTGGGCTCCTGACAGAGGCTGCAGCAAAACTAAGCCCTGGACATGTGCATCCTCCCCTCTCCCCACCTCCTCCCTGCTCCCTTCCATCACCAAGTTGCTTTGGGTGGCTGCCTCAGAGCTGGCTTAGGAGTTAAGCTGCTTTCAAAATTGTTTCCTAAAGTGGGGTGTAGCTGGCTATGTGCCATGCTGTGTCTTCCTTTTTCTGGTTGTCAAGTTTTGTAAAACCAAATTTGCATCTCTCTTCTCTTTGATTATCGTTTTAAGTGTGTCTGCCTGAAAAGTTTTTGGCCTTAGGTGATATAAAAGTTTTCTGTAAAAATCTGTTTTTATTTGAGGAGCACTCTCTTTGCCAATGTGTGGTTTATATGCATAGATTCACACTCAGACTTGAAAGAAAGAGTGAATCAAGGCACACGGTAGGTCATGTGAAGAAACACTACTCCCACGAGGGTGCTCTAGTGGCCGTATTCTGTGACTTCGTATAATCAGCAGAAATTACTAACCAGAGCCACTCATTTCTGTGAGAAGAGTTCACTAGATTCCTTGCATCACACTCTACTGCTGTATTGTGTATCTATGTGAAAAGAACAATCTTCTCTGCCTTCCTTCTAAGTGTCGCAAGGTAACTGCTCATTGGAATGTAAGCTGTGAGTGGCCCCTTTCACCATCCCTGAGGATGGGGTGACAGGCAGGCAGGCCCTTGTGCCCACTCTGCTCACCACGCTATGTGAATTCGCTTTGCATAAATTTCTGACTCATTCAGAGTCACACAGCTAGTGAGGGTGGCACTCAGGGACCACACCTAGGACTTGCTCAGAAGGTCCCAAGACATCTTCCTAGTGGCAAAAGTTAGCTTGGCAGTACACACTATCGATTAGCTCAAGTTTGTGGTCTAGATTTTATTTTCTTCTGCTTTTAATCCAGTGTACATCTTTGGATTAATGTTGAAAGGACATGAAGTGACTGTTGTATAAGTAGCAGTCCACCTGGCTCTGTGGTTTTATCTTTTGACCTAACTTGTCTTATTGGGTTATTTCGTGGAGACCAGGAATGCTAGTCATAAAACTTCATACCACCTAAAATGTTTTTGATCAACAAACCGACCACACCAGGCAGTATTTCTGTCACAGGATTACCTCGTTCCTTGGCAGCTACACTGCAAAGAATGTGCCATCAAGCTTGAAATTAACTGTCACATGCTTAAGAGCACAATAGCACCGGGGAGTGTCAGCCCTGCCAAATTCCCATCCAAAGCCTCAGCAGCCACTTTTTGGAGAGATGATGAGAGAGAATGGCCTTGACAGTGGTGTCAAGGCCCCAGGAGTTGGCCTTCCTTGTTGCTGGGAGTCCAAGGACAGATGTGGTTGCTTCCCCGAGAATTCAATACTAGATATGGTAGTAATGGCAGCCGGCATTCAGTTAGACCTCGGTATTTCCCAGACACTTGTACCAAGCACTTATTTTTTTCATTTATACCTCCCAACAGCCAAACTAGGAAGAAAATACTATTGTCACTTCACAAGTTAGAAAACCAAAGCTCAGAAAGTTTAAACTGCCCAAGAGGCAAGAGGATAAGTTCAAGTCCAGCCCATACAACAAGGAGAAGTCCTGGCTCCAAATTTTTAAAAAGAGCTGGGGATGTAGCCGCAGTAGCAGAGCGTTTGCCTAGCGTATTTGAAGGCCTGGGCACTGGAATCTTTGGCACTGGAAAAGGGAGGCTAATCCCGTTCATGAGAGTTCTACTCTCCTGACCTAATCGCCTCCAGTGTCCCACCTCCTGATGCCATCACCTTGTGGCTTAGGTTTCACCTGTGAGTTTGAGGGGACACAAATACTCAGTTTCTAGCAGTTCACTAACCTCTTAAAGGGAAAGAGAGATACTTCTGCCCACCTTTGAGATGCTTAAAGCAAAAAGGGTACTTGGTTCAACTCTAAAACAGCCACTGCTCCAGACCATAAAAGAATGTGTCTGAGGAGAAATCCCTCCTGCTTCCAGGCCCGATGCAGGCAGGTCACAGGATGCTGGGTCACTAGCAAGACTCAAAGGTCCGTTGATGGATGGATTCCCTCAGGTAATCCCTGCTCCATTATTACTTTGGATAAATCATATTCTCTGTCTTCAAATCAAGAAAGCAACAGCTGAGGCTGTCCTGCCATTCCAGTAATGACGCAGCATCCCATGAAGTGCAGAATGGAAAGCATCAAAAGCCGAATTGGTGGTTTTGTGACCTAAGTCCCTGATCTACGCTAGCCATGTTAAGTGGCAGCCTTAACCGTAGCTCATCACTGTTTCTCCCCTAACCCTCCCCTGAATGCATCTGGTGCACCAGCCCAAGGTACCTAAGCACATTGTAGATTTTTCCTTGAAATGCTGTTGTGCTCTGAGGTCCAGAGGGTGCAAGTCAGAACTGCAAGAAGGTGGCACATATCCCCCATTACAACACTGAAGCAAGACGGAGCTGGCGCACAGCAGCATGGCCAACAGGACTACAGTGAGGCATGCTGTCTGCAGGCTTCCTCTCCCACTCCCTGCCACCTTGCCACCACTGCCCCAAACAAAGGAGGCTCATACAATGGCAGCATTATTCTTGTGAGTTCTCTGTTTCTTGTTATCCTGTTTGCATGGTGCTAGAACAGATCCTAAAGGCTTAGAGCAAAATATAAGATGCACTAGAGCTCATGCCAGCAGAATCCTGTGTTATGGCTAAATCACTTAGAACTGTAAAGATAAAAGGGAGGGAGATTAAAAACTGGGAGCCCTCTGAGTTTGACTACTTGACTTTGACAGAATGAACTCAGCTCACCTGAACAGGTACTCAGCTTTTGTTGGCACCTGTTTCCAGGCCCTGACCTCTTAGCGTTTCTAGAGGTAATTTACGTTCAGTCACAGAAGGAATTCTGGGGGGTCATAGCTCTCGATTTTTTCTCAGGAATTAATTCGATCAGCTATTAGATATAGGCTTTTAATAGATGGTCACAGATCGACCAGATCCAGAGAGTAAATGAGTATTAAATGACTATTAGTAAATATAATTTGACCTGTTAAAATTTAATTCAAGCAGTCTACGTTGGGAAATTCATCATGGGTTGAAATAGAGGAAAATGAAAGAAAACTTTGCCTGGGTGGAAAAAAAAATTATACTTGCCTGGTTGAAATTATTTTAAAAATTGGGAAAGAAAGAATATTTCAGTGTATGTGAAAAGCTCATCCTTTTGAAGCAAACTTAAGGACTTAATTGTGTAACTACCAGAATGCATATGGTGAGGCACTAAGTGCACCAAGTGCCTTGGAATGTGACTGCATTTGGATTGGAGACAGAGCCCGGGAAGAAGCGATTAGGGTTTAGTTAGGTCAAAGGGTGGAGCTCTGGTCTAATAGGATGGGTGTCCTCAGCAAAGGAAGAGACACCAGGGGCAGACACAGCAAGAAGATAGCCATTTTTTGACCAAGGAGAGATCAAACCTGCCAACACTGTCGTGTGGGACTTCCGGCCTCCAGAACTGTGGGAAAATAATACCTGCTGTTTACAGGGCCTGGAGTGTGGTATGTTGTCATGACAGCCTTGTGGTCTAAGACCAAAAACAGAGGAGATGGATGTTTTTTCTTTGGTGAAAGTGGACTCTTTCTTAGCATGCCGTAGAACAGACTGATGTGGTAAAATAAATTCTTTTTTCTCAGTGAGGAAAACACCAGGACATGCAATTTGAGTGCTATCTATATATCTCAAGTTCCCCATTTC